ATGTCTACTTTGTCCACCCAAATGGGAACATCAGGATTCCTTTTCAACCATTGCGTTTTCACTTCAAAGAAAACTTTTTTGTATTTATCTTTAAGTTTTCATCTTTTCATAAAGCAGATTGTATTTTATAACATCTCTTAATATGGGTAACACAGAATCTAAAAACTCACTTGGGAAATTGTTATAACACTTTTTGCAGCTTTGATTCAAAAAATCTTTTTTTAACAACGTAAGATATTACAGTGAAATATGGCAACAATTTTAGTTGTACCACATTCAACTTGCTTTCCCTGACAGCAACCTTGTTTAACAAGGCTTGTGTTTTGAAGTTAAAAAGTTAAAAAGATTTTGATATAAGTGATAGGATTTTACTAAAAAATATAACCTCTTAAAGTCTTTAACTGTAACATTAGTATGCTTATTTAAGAATTTAATTTTTTTTATTTTAATAATTTTTTTTTAAAGTAAACGCATATTAAAAATGTGGTGGGGGTGTAGTGGTAGAGTTCTCACTTCGTAAGCAAGAAGTTTTGAGTTCAATCTTGTTGTTCATCTTGTTAATCAAGACCTTTATTTTTAAAAAATAAATTAAAGATTGTTAAGACCTTCGATTTTTTTTTCACACGTTTTCTCTTTAGTCTTATTTTTTAAATAATCCTTTCTTATTTCTATACACAATGTTGCTCTAGTATGTGCTAAGTTGTTAATCATTCTAACAAAATTTTTTGCTGACCTTTTTAAAATCCATAAATCTATTGTTATTTATGCAGCTGTTTTTGAATAACTGCTGGATTTGAACATCCTGCATAAGTTTTATGTTAACCTGTAGCTTTAACATTTTTAGCATTGGAACATATGAACTAGCATATGATGGTACAGGGTGTATACTTAATTTCTGACCCCCCACATGTTACAAACACAAGATTTTGAGTTGCTCTCTTAAATGCGTGGTATTATTCTTACCGTGATATTATTCTACCTGTGTACAAACGTGCAGCTGTTGATAAGACCATCTTTTCTGTAAGAAATAAAGTTATTCTGATGCAAGATGGAGCAACTTGCCACACGGCAAGAGCAACAATGAATGTGATCAACAGAGACTTTCCAGCAGTGTGGACCGACTGGCCTGGCAACTCGCCCGACTTAAATGTCATCGAACATATTTGGTCAAGACTCCAGGACAGTGTTTTACACAATCCTCGACCTCGTAATCGTGAACAGTTGATCAGACGTGTTGAACAGGAGTGGGCTGCCATTACACAAGAAGAGTGTTTTCGCCTAGTAGAAAGCCTGCCAAGGAGAATTACCCAATGCCTAGAAAGAAATGGACAAAATACTGATTACTGACTATTAACATATATTCTTTGTCTAATTAAATTGATATGACAGTAATAAAATGGTATGTGTTGAAATACCGTATTTAAACCGAGATATAGGGGGTCAGAAATTAAGTATACACCCTGTAGATGGTAGAGTTTTTTTCGATTTAAGTAATTTTTGGGTGTTAATTAGGGCTTGGCAATTGGTGGAACCTCAGCCGGTTAACGGGGTTTTTTTTTCAGTTTTCTTGAATTTGAAAACCTTTTTTCTTTCCTAAAAAAACAGGTCATTATTATACATTACTAAATACATAAATAGTTTAAAGATTTCTTGTTTTAAAAAGCTAACAAGTAACGTGGAAAGCACAAATAACATAGAAAGCTAACAAGTAACATGGAAAACTAACAAGTAATGTGGAAAGCAATTAAGTAATGTGGAAAGCTAACAAGTAACATGGAAAACACAAATATCGTGAAAATATATATAGTTTAAAAAAAATTATTTGTATTATTTTTTTATTTGTTTATGTATTTTCTTTTTGATTGATGTATAAAAATAAATGAATTTTAATTTAAAAAAGAAAAAAAGTTGATCAAGACTTAGAACCTAAGTCTTGATCCCTTGTAAAAACTGGTCTTGTATTGATTTTTTGATATCTTGGTCTTAGTGTTGTTCCTGAAGCATTCAGTCTTGGTCTTGGCCTTGAGCCCAAATGTCTTGGTCTTAGTCTTGGTCTTGGCCTTTACTGTCTTGACTACATCTCTGATTGTTAATGGATTACATACTGACAGAATCTTTCAAAAATATTTAAATTTTAGAATACTTAATATAATCAAAACAATCCAGGAAAGTTAAGTAACACTAACTTAAAGTATTTTGTCAACTTTTTTGAATGATTGTTACGCAAAACAATTCAGAATAGCAATTAGCGATTGCAAAACAAGCAATTCCCTTTTGCGAGTTGCACAAAAACTTATAACGGAAGTATTCCCTTGAGAGAATTCCGCACGAAGAATTCTCGCTTAAAAGCCAGTGCGCTGAATTTAATTACAGTTGAAGTTTTGACGAAACTATACAGAGTTTTATATTTAAACTAGTAGTGATAATTTAATATGAAAATATTGAAATAAGTATTAAATAATAACCATAGTCGAATTTTCTTCATAATAAATATAAAAACAAAACATTACATTTTTGATATTTTTATTTGTTGATTCATTTTTTGTTATTATTGTTTAATTATTTTAGTTTGAGATTGTTAAATCTCAAAATCTTGCACACCATCTTTAAAATAAAATAGTATTACCAAATTTTGATCCTTCTTTTACTCTTCTTGTTTTTAATACTTAATTTAAAAATATTTTCTTTATGGACAGCATTCTAAAATTCTACTAAACATGTATGTAAAATGTATTTGTTAAATCTTCAGCATATTATTTAATAAAATGTTTGTATGTTGTATCTTTGCATTATGTTAAATCTTTAATACATTTTTATATATTACAAATAAATGTTTAATTTTTATGGTTCTGATGATAAGATCTTTCATCTTTCCGAAACCTTTATATTGTTAGTATGCTGAATTGTTTATTTTCTAAAAAGACTCTAAAAGTTGTTATGTATTTAATCACAACTATCATTGTAAACTGAAAAAAAAATAAATAAAACAAAAAAAAATAATAAAAAACCTGTGTAAACTGATTATCCGGTTTTACATCGGTTATCCGGTTTTACACCGGTTTTTTATTACAAAGTATTTATATTATAACCTTTTTTGTTAATTTAAACAGTTTTCTGTCTGTATAATCAAAGTATTTGCATTAAAGATTAACTGTGGTTTATATTTACCTTTCTAAAACCTCCTCGAATATAGGAGAAGCTGGGTTAAAATAAGGTATTGAGGTAAAATGGGGTTTTGCAAACACACCCAATCGCAAATGATTGAATTTGAAGTAATGCAATACGAGACAACACCACCTTGAGCTAGAGTTGTTACAAGGTAAGTTTAAGTTCTCACATCTTTTTCAACCAATTTTTTTAACTTACAACTTAAGAAACTGGTAGTTAATAATTAAAACTTTTGAACTAAAGCTTTTATTGTGTCTGAAGCTTATTGTCAATAAATATTTAATGTAACAATAAAGTCAACCCTGTTTCAATTATAACGCATTTTAATGTGTCACACTACAACGGAGTAAAATGGGGTAGTTTCAGTGGGACAAAATAACCCAGCAAACATTTTATAGCAGAAATTCAGTGGACCTATATAGGCATTTCGAGCGGACCTCTGTAGTTTTGCTCAGTGGGCCATTAGTGGCAGCCACCAAAAAAGGCTAGCCAATGACTAGCCACTACTAATAAGTCAGATAATTATCGGTTTGCCATTTATAGCGCCTGCCACTTATGGTCTACTAAATAACCGATGAGCAAAACTCCAATGACCCAATAAAAAATGCCTATCAAAACCATGTAATTATAGACGTATAATGTTTCTAGCTTAATTATAATTTCATTCAATAACTAATATTGCACTAATGATCTACTAGCTAGAACAGGGGTGGATCCAGCATTTTTTGGTCTTTGAGATAGCTAACCTCCGAGTATGAAGCAAACTCCAAACATTTATATATTTATACTTATGTTACATAAGGATGCTTTGCAAAAAATTGCGATAATTGGAGCCTGGAAACAAAAATCCCTAAAAAAATTTCCCACTCCCTGCCCCAAATGTTAGAGCAACAAGGTTATAAAACATATTTTGTACTATTCTCAACCAAACTTATATTCATCGATAAATTTAAAGTTTCATAATATAATCTCTTAGCAAAATCTAGATGGGTGTTCATTATTCGTCAGGCAGTTTTTATACTATTTAAACTCCTCAAAGTCAGCTGTTTGAAACAATAAACAATGCTAATATATTTTTTTTTAAAAATGCATGTATTTGTTGAAATATTTAGCGTTTTGCTACATGAGAGCATGTTAATCACTATTTAAAACACTTTCTTTTTTTTAAAACACTTTTTTTCTCTGACCAATTGATAATAATGATTGAATGACTAATTGATAATAATGCCACCTGGTAATAATATAATGACCACATGTTAATAATTTAATGACATACTATTAATGATATAATGACCAGCTGGTAGTGTAACAACTAGCTGATAGCAAACAACTGTAAACACCTTTTTGTATAATGCTATACTATGCCTTCATCAACACTTAAATTTTATAAAAATTTAGTACCAAACTACATAAGTATCTTCTCACCTTAATTAATCATAATCACCATAATCAATCATAATCACCATAATCACCATAATCAATTTTTTAATCAATTATAATTTTGATATTTTTCAATAAGATTGTATTGTACCTTCCCTGTAAAAATAAAATTTATCGTTGGCCTTGCATTATCTAAGTTTAGTATTTTAAACTCATCTATAAAGATTATCATTTTGTATTCAAATATAAAGGTTATTATTTTGCATTCCTATATAAACGTTATCCTTTTGCATGGTTAATGTTTTTGACAATTCAAATGCTTATTATATATATATATATATATATATATATATATATATATATATATATATATATATATATATATATATATATATATATATATATATATATACACGTAATAAAAGTCATTGTTTTAAAGTGTTGTTGCCTAGATTTGCATCGCTTGGTAACTTGACTGGACATCCGTCTGTTTCAATACCAATTGGTTATTCCATAAACCATCTTCCTATTGGTTTGATGGTTCAAGCATCGTGGTGGAGAGAAGATCTTGTTTATCGAGTATCTCATGCTTTAGAAGGGTATTGTAAGATACGCAAACCTGAAGTATACTACGATGTTTTGGCAGTCCACCCGTCTCATCATACAAAATAAAACAAGTATATATATATATATATATATATATATATATATATATATATATATATATATATATATATATATATATATATATATATATATATATATATATATATATATATGTATGTATCAATAGCTAATTGAAAAAAAAAATCGTTTATCTTTGAGTTATTTAAATGATATGTTTAAGATCTCTGAAAGTTCTCTAAAGTGATTTTTCTCTTTGTGTTTTGTTTAGTAATGTAGATATTTAAGTTATGTAAGATTTTTAAGTTATGTAAATGTATACGATTTTTGTGTTTTGATTTTTTAATAGTTTTTAGCTTTAGTTTTTTTTTTTTTTTGTATCTTTTTTTTGTTTTTTTATGATTTTGCGTTGTTGTACATATAAGAATTTTTTTTTAACATTTTATTTAATTTTTTGTTTAATTTAGACACTATGATGATTGCATTTGCATGTAAACACATTTAAAACAATTAAATGTGTCTGTGTGTCAATAAGGTGTTCAGTTAGGTGTGTTTAAGTCAGCTAAATCTATTTTCGATACTTGAATGAAGCTATGAACGGAAATATTGCATATTATTTATACCAAATTATTGGTTGAACAAAGAATGCTGTTTTATTGTTTTAGCACAAAAGTCAAAACAAAAAATTTCCTATTATATCTTGCTCTAGACAAAAGAAAAAACTTATACCTAGTCGGTTTTTTATTTGTACTTTAAGTGAACATATTTTATTTGCACAACTATCGATGTACAATTTTGTTTGAATTTGCAATATACGATGCGCATGTATGTCAATTTTTAAGAATAGATTTTTTTTAAATTTTTTTCCTTTTAAGTAAACTGGATTTTTAGAGATTGTTTTGTACCTACATGCAATAATTCAGCGATTTTTTTGATGCTTGAAAAATGTCAGCTCTGTGTAGCTGAACTAACTTTAGTTCAGCACTGTGTTGCTTAGTTAAGTTCAGCACTGTGTTGCTTAGTTAAGTTCAGCACTGTGTTGCTGAACTAACTTTAAGGTAAAAGTTATATATATTAAAAACAATATGTGTTAACTGTTTTTTTTACAAAAAATCAGTTTACATATATTGTTGGTTTTACGTCTAGGAGCTTGAAAATAATGTTTCAAAAAATTGTAACAATCCGTCCTGATAAAATAAGTCATTTTACAAAAAAAAAAAAAAAAATCCTTTAGATATGGTATTTTTTAAATGCTTATTATATAGCTTAAATGCTAATGGTAGTATAAAAATATATTTTATCAACTTGTTCTCTTTTTTATTTTACATAAGCATCTTTATTTAAAAAAGGTATTTTTATTTGACATAAGCATCTTTATTTAACATTAGTATAAACATAGTATATCTTCGGAGTTTGCTTCATGTCTGGCAGTTAGCTTTATGGCAAAAAGCTGGATCCTTAAATATTTATATGAATTCATGACATAAGTAGATGAAGACGTTAAGTTACAAAAACACGTAAATGAGATATCTAAAGTTAAAGTTTTCAACACATTTTTCTAGATATTTTTCTTAGCAAGATATTTAAATTTTTATCGAGCTAAATACTAATCAAAATACCATTAAAAATGGATGAGTGTTTTAAAGTCTCTAAACACCTTTATCTATGTTATAAATTATGTTATGTACAACTCCTTCTTCCACTGTGAAATTGTTACTTTAGCGCATTTTTAAGTGATGTTAAGTTTATGTGAAAGAGCATTGCTTAAAACCTTTACCTACGTAAAAAAGTTGAAACATTTATTTTTGTTATAAATATTTATTTTAACATAAACTAATCAATTTTAGTAACAAAAGTAAAAAACATTTAATGATGATTTTAAATGTTAAATATTTACCTTTAATTCTTTAATTTTTTTTCAAAAGTTTGAAATCTAATATGATGAAGTCTATGAAAATTAAATGCAGTTTTAATTTATCCTTAAAATTGTTTAAAATGCAGTTTAGGGCAGTCTTGTTTTTAATTCAAAATATAAAGAAATATTTCCAAATAAAAGGTCCACGACATTTATTTTGGTAGAACTTGGTTAATTAGTTTAAATTAATTTAATTTAAGTTATTTGAAAATAGTAATTATTTTATCAATATAATTTTATGAGTATTTTCGATCTCAGCTACATTGTATGTGAACAACAATTGTTAATAAATATTTATTACTTACATCTATACTTAACGCAATTTTTTTTTTTTTTTTTTTTATCAGCAAACAAATAACGTTTTTAACTTCATCGTGACAATACTTTTTCTTTGAGACTCACGTTCTTTATTCTTTTATGACAGTGGCGGATTAAGACTTTTCGGTTCCCGAGGCTATTTTAAAGAAGGGACCCCTCTTCATGTGCAACGACAAAAATGAGTAAAATAAAAATATTAATGAAAAAGCTATTGCTAATATTTCATATCGCTAATAAAGTTAAGATTTTATATTTATTTTATTGAATTATTAATTAAGTTAAGTGATTTCTTTCTACCTTTCTTTTCCGAAAACTCAGCTATCATATCAGATATCATCGCTAATATCCATAGTTTCTAACAATTTTGATTCGATAGTTAATTTTTCTTTCTTATTTAAACGACTATGGAGCATTGTTGATCGGTGCATGTTCTTTACTCTTTTAAGAGCAAAGAATCATCTCTTAGCATCGCAATTTGTTATGGCTTATATATATATATATATATATATATATATATGTATGTATATATATATATATATATATATATATATATATATATATATATATATATATATATATATATATATATATATATATATATATATATTATATAAACATTCGGAAATACATCAATAATATCGGTTTCAACAACCCAATTTAAAACACCCAGAGGAATCAATGTGTATTTAGTTTCAGATATATCTTTTTTATGAGAAAAAAACCTGGAGATTGCAACTTTAATAATGAAACTATTTTATTTCTAAATCCTTTGAGTACACTTCTACAAATTTTTTGCGCTAACTTGTAATTCCATGATGCTAATTGTTAACAGCTTTGACAGAAACCCAATTAACTTATTTATGTGGTTGTAACCATCACTTCTTATAGTTAGTTGTGTCACAAGTTTGTCAATAATGACAAAAATGTATTCAATCGAAACTTGTCAGATATGTTAAAAAGTATCAACTTGGTTTTCTCTGTTTCTCAATTTTTTAACTACTTTTCTTTTGATCTTGTCAGAATAGTCTTTTTCAATTAACGAGCTTTTTTTGATTCATTCTCAAATCTCGTAAAGTTGTTTCGTAAGTTTTTTAAGTCAATTAGTGAAAGTAACATACTGCTGTACGCTAATCTAATTCAACTTTTTCAAGAAGTTTGCTAACTTTATTAAAACTCATAAGTATGTGATGCCATGAATGCAATCTCTAGCTTAGTGATCTTATTTCACAAACACACAACTTCATGACGAGTATTAGACTTTTCTTCTGTATCCTCTGCTATAAGACAGAACGTTGCATGAATCCCATTAAAATTTTCTAATAAACGTTTTGAAGCATCCGACCTACATGACTATAGTGTATCTGATAAGCGCTTGAGTATAGCATGCTTTCCTTTCAATATATCCCCACTGTGTTTTGAAGCTACAAAAAATGAATACAAACTCTGCAGAACGCCAAAATAGTTTATAGAGTTGATGCACTCACTGATATTGCACTGCCCTAATAAGTTTAAAGAATGTCCAGCGCAGGGGATATAAAAAGCTAATTCCCTCCGATCTTTTAAACGTGCTTGTAACCAAGAATATTTACCAGACATATTGTTGCATTATTGTATGCCTGTCCACGACAATTGCTTATATCAAAATCATATTTTTTCAGTAGATCTAAAATGTCAGTAACCGAGGATTTACCTTCGTGGCTTTTAATTTGTAGAAAACAAAAAAATTGCTCGTACACATGGTCATTTAGATAATAACAAAATATCACAGAAGTTGATCCACCTGATATCAGGCGTAGAATCCACGATAATTCCCAAGTATTTCGCTTTTTTTACTTTGCTAATAATATGTGTTTAAACTAGGGATGTACCAAAGCTAAGATTTTGCCGAAGCCGAAGCTGAAGTCACTCTGCCGAAGCTTTGGCCGGAGCCGAAGCTTTTACACTTAAATTGGCAAAATTTGCTATCTTGCAGATATAGCTATCTAGGGATAATATTAATTGCTGAAAAAATTTTTTTTTATCATTTTACTACAATTATTATATGCTCTGCACATAGTAAAATATACGTTCTGCATTTATAAATATTTTAGCACACAAGGTATTTTACTATAACAAATCATCAAGGTTTTTTTTTTTTAATTACGCAATGTCGTAGGATTTTAGGATGTAGCATATCCCTTAGATGTAGCAACCTTATTTGAACAAATTTAATGTTAAATGAAAAAAAGATGACTAGCTAACTAGTAATTACTAATTATAAATTAGTAGTTGAACATTACATTAGTTTGTATTTTGCATTATAATAAAATTACCATTTAGTAATTTCCATAAATTATAGTAAATGAGAGAGGTTGTTTTTATTATACTTTTTAGTTTATTACGTTTAAATTAGTTATCCATTGTTAGAAATCAGGCAAACTATTGTTTAAAAACGTAATCTGTTCTCCATGCTCAGGCAACAGCCTGTTTCTTTTGGCTTAAAATATGTTTGCTGTTGTGCTGAACAGAGGTTCACTCTTAACGGATGAAGGAGGTGCGCACAAAATTTTCATTGAAAACCTTGCCGAATCCCACTTATTAGTGTCTTTATTAGAGCAGGTGTAATTGTAAACACCCCACCACTTTTAAGGGCATTCATCTTTTAGTAATGTTGATAGGCTAAAGTCGAAGTTATCTTTGTCCATGTTGAATCAAAATTATGAATCAATTTAAAGTTTAAACTAATACTTTAAATCTTTAATCAAGTAAGGAAAAAAAAAACTCTTATTCAACTTATAAATAAACATTTATAGTTGATAAATAATTATGTTTTGCAAAGAAAATTAAAAATATTAAATGCAACCAGACCCGTCACTACAGGAAGACACAGCCTGTTTGTAATAGTTTGTGCCTGCTTCCAGTAATCTTTCTATAATATAAATAATATAATTTTGTCAACAGCAATTCTGGTGTGCAAACAAACCTGTAAAGAAATTTCTTTTAACAGGGCTGAATGCAACATAATAATTAATTTGAAAATTCAACTTTTAACTAAATTTGTAATAAATTAAAAAAATTACAATTTTATTTAGATACTTTTTATTCGTACCATTTTCCTTTTAAAATTTGAGTTTTTCCTCAAGGATTTTTACTATTATACTTTTTTTCTCCTCCATCAGTGTTTTCACAATTCTGTGAAGCATTTTTATTTATACCCATTTTTTCTAATAAGCTGTACATGCTCATGCTTTCTTTTTTGATTGGACCATTACGATCGGAGTCTTTAACGAAATTAATTTTTTTTGCTTGTTGTAAATGATCATCTACAACAAGAAAGCAAATTTTATTTCAAGGTTATTTAGAGTATCGATACTCCAAATGAAAGCGGTAGTACCCTTGATATAAAATTTCCTTAAACATGCTATGATCTGTTTCTTAAAAAAAATTCATCTGAAACAGGGTTTGAAAATCTTTGCTTTTATGAAAACGAATTTTAAAATCAGTTTTAAGTTCATCAACAACAGTTTTGATTCGAATTGATTTGTTCCTAGCATAGTCAAGAAACGGTATGATCTCTAATCGGTCTACTCTTACCTTTCGTAGCGCTTTCAAAGTGATTTTGTATGCATACAATTATTGTAACATATATAGGGGATCAGAAAACATTAATCATTTTCGGTCATACTTTTCGCCGTTATTCATCCCTTTTTGAAAATATTTTACCGAATAATATCTATACTGGTTTTTGAACATTCGTTTCGAAGATTCGAAATTAGAGTCTTTATTTTGAAAAAAGCATATCCCTTGTTTAAATACTTCATACATTCATTTCCTTTTATTGAAATGACCATAAAGCAGGGTCTTCGTGTAGAATGATATCTAGGGTAAAAAAAACCATGATAAACGTAAGCTTAATAAAAAAATAATAAGTGTGTGTAATGAGTGTCATAAAAAGTAACAATTTATAGAAAAATGCCTAAAAAGTAAATTGTTTGTTTAGCAGATGTTAGAGGTGACATTTGTCATTTGAGGTGAAAATTGGAGTACCTGAGTCAAGTTCATTATTACATTTGTAAGTTCAACACTTTCAATTTCGCGAATTTTATTCGAAGTGTTATCATGTTTTCTTTCATCTTTTTTATTATTTTCTACAGTTTGTGGAAATTTGATTTGATTTGATGAAAATTGATTTGGTTTGATGAAAAAAAAATTGTTTTTTTTGGAAGTTTAGGTACCATTTCCCCTCTCTCTTTTTTCAATCTCCTTTTAGAAGCTCCGCTTTGATATTTTCTTAGCATATTAATAACTCTATAACCTGGAAAGTGTAAATCTATTTAATTCTTCTCTTTCGCAAATTTAGCGCTACACCTTTTATATACATTTACACAAGAATTCCTTTGTGTGGAAGTACAAAAGAATTGTAGAGTTGCAATCGTTAATACATTTTCAAAGACAATATAACTCAATAAAATTCAAGTCATTAATGATTTTCCGAAGGGAATTGTTTTCGTAGCAATTTCCACAAACACTACATCCAATTTTCGACGTAAGGTGCTGCTACTAATCTAGTAATTTTTTTTCGTAGAAGTGATTAGCGCCCCTCTGTTAGTCCAAGTACGCAAAAAAAATATTATGCAGCATTTTTGTTGACTTTTTTCATTTTTGTGTTTTTATTTTCAATTAGACAACTTCGTAATTTTAACTCTGGCTTTTTTATGTTAATAAAAGATTTATTTTTTAGAGTTAATAAAAAATTTTCTATTTTGAATCGGGGTCCCTAAAATTGTGGAGTCCAGGGCTATAACCCCCTTAGCCATCCTCCCGCTCCCGCCCTAATCTAGCCCTGTCTGATAACAAAATCTTCAATTATTTTCCAAAGCAAAACTAAGCATGCTCACTCAACTATTTTCTAGTTCCCGTAAAAAAGTGGAAATTTATTTTCAAGTTCACTTGAACACTTGTCCATTTTTTTTAGTAATTTTTTTAGTAATTTTTAAGGGAAACTTCTAAGACAAACCAAAAAGGAACTATTTATTACGTTTTTAAAAATTGGCTTTAGACAAATGAAACTTCCTAACAATGCATTTCCAAAAAAGTTCACAACAAATATAAAGAATAGAGTTATGAAACACCAGATCGCTTTGAAAAATGTGGACTATTAACTGTAAATTAATTGACCATATTTAATGAAGATTCAGTGATTTTGACAAAATGGAAAATACATAAGATTTATTTTAAAAACTGTGCGCGTTATTTACAGAAATCTCTCAAAAAGATAAAATCATTTTAATACTTTTAGTACCCTACCAACAAAAACAACCAGACCAAAAAATAAGTTCGTGACACTTTTGGCCCGGGAAAAATAATCAGGTGAAGATAAGTAACTAAAATTTGTTTAAAATTTTTTTTTTTCCAAAACAAAACTATGAATGCTCACTCAATTATTTTCCAGTTCCCCTAAAATAATAGAAAAGTGGAAATTTATTTTAAACACTTGTCCATTTTTTTACCTGGGAAGGGAAACAGAAGAGAAAAATAATCAAGTGTTTCAAAAATTAAAAATTAAACTACGCATGTTCACGTGATTAATTTTCTTTTCCTGTTTCTGTAGAAAAATGGACAAAGTGAAAACTTACTTTAACGCCTTTAACTTTACGGTTTTTTGGTGGAAACTTAATCAAGAACTTTTGGTCTTTTCAAGTTTGTTATTATTATTATATTTTTTGAATTCTTCATTTGCAACTTATTCTTTTTTGTATAATTGTATAAGGGTTGTAGTCAGGGCCGTCCCTGTAGACCGTAGAGTTGACGGCGTCCGGGGAAAACATAGTTGTAGCGCCCTCTCCCTCCAGCAATAGACAGTGAGGGCTGGTTATTATTGGAGGGATGCCTATCTTGGACTGTGGCAGCTTACCCCCTCTAGGAGCGGCCGTGGTTGTAATAAAAAATAAAATTAATATGATTAAAAAATCATAAATAAACTTAAAAATGAAGACCTTAGTGCAAAAACGGTGTAAATCCACTTTTAATCGATTTTCAGATTTAAATGAATTAATAGTAAAATAAAAAGCTCTATCAGCTGGTGCATAAACGACTTAGATGTGAGCACTACTTATGTCAACGAACACAAATTTTTATGAACATATCTGTATTCCGTACTTTAAAAATTAGATTTTTCTTTCTCCTAAACAATTTGTGAAAATGGAGTTAGGTCATTTTTGCACTAAGGACTCCTAAATAAATATTATTCAAACATTCAATGTAAATTTTTATAAGGATTTTTAAAAGAGATTATAACAAAGTTTGTTTGACGTTGATAAATTTAGATTCTTAGCTAACCTTTCTATTCATTTAAAGTTTTTATGAAAGTACTACAAAGAAAAATCTCCAGGTCCAAAAGTCCAATTTTATTTTAATTTTTTTTGAATTGATGTAATTTTTTCTAAAAGATAAATATATAATAATAATCTGAAACAAATACTCTCTAATCGAAACAAATACTCTCGATGAGCATTATTTAGATTCCTGCATTAAATTAAAAAATAATAATAATGATAATAATAGAAAAAAATTATTTTTAATTTAATATAATATCTTTAATAATTTTAAAACTTAAAATCATCAAAATTATTACATAAAGCCAAAAAAAAAGTTTTTATAGATTGCCCAGTTTCTATCGCTCATATAAGGAGTGAATTTTCAACAAGTCGCAAAAACAAAAATTCTAAGTTCATTCCATTATATATTTGTCAAATTTAAGTTTTCCATCGTTTGTTTAAAAACTAAGTAAATTTTGAAGTATTTTAATAAAGTTAACAAAATGATGGATAACATTCAAAAAGGAGACATCAACAAACGAGATAGCATATCTCCTTATAAAAAGAACTTTTTTTTTTTTTTTTTTTTTTTTTGGGGGGGGGGGGAGTGGGGGCGATTTTGTTTGAACGTAGCCAATTTTTCAATACCTATATTAGATATATATAAAAAAGGTCACGATGTGATCAAACAGATTAACGTCTTTGAAATAAAAAAATGGTTTTAAAAAAACTACCTGTTGTAAGTTTCATTATTTTTTCGTTTCTTGCAAACAATAAACAGAAATTTAAAAATATCTTAAGCATTAATACATTCTATGTAGAAAATCTAAATAAAAGATTCATTAGGTCGAGATGAAAATCTCGAAAGTAAAGGCGATGGATGGTTCGAAGAACGAATTTTGCGTAATAGTTTCTTACAAAACCCAGGTAGATATAATATTAAAAGCCATGCGGCAGCAGTTATTCCAATCATAAACTCAAAAATAATTCTCAAAAGAAACAAATAAAAGTTCGGTCTTTCTAAATACACATCATTAAGCCACAGTGTCTTATTAAAATACTCATAAAAGTACATAGACAATATATAAGCAGAAAATAAAGCGTGTGAAACTGCTAAAGGGCCAACTGAATTATTTTCCTGCTTAAACAAAAATGTTTTGGAATTATCCGATGAACTAGATAACAACTTGAATGAAACAACTTTTCCGAAAAGCAAAAAAATAGTTCCCGTAAGAAGATAAGTAAAAAGAGGGCCCAAAACAAAACCACTCAGCGACGATAGCCTTTCATGGTGATTTCCAATTGAACACATTCCTGTTAGTTCGTTTCCGTCTATCTTTCGTAAAACTAGTATCACAAGCGTTTTAGCGCAAGGAATACCCCATGCAACGACATGAAAGTATTTAACATTTTTTGTCAATGTTTGCTTTTTCCATTTCAAGCCAGAATTTAAAAACCACGTGATTGTTAGTATAACCCACCAAATATTCTGTGCCATAAAAAATCCGTAAGATAAAACAAAAATTGAGGAACACGCGACGTTTGTGGAGCCATCACGAAGCATATACTTTTTTCCATTTTCTTCGCCACAACTAATATTCTCTCGAGTATAAACAATTCGGATAATGTGACCGATTGAATAAAAAACAAAGCACACTGTGATAAAAACAACCGCTTTTTCTGGATATAAAACTCGTTTGTATTCGACCAAGGAAACGACCAGAGCAACAGAGCATATTAAACAACAACAACTAGACAAAGCAGACATCCATTTTTCAACACTATCTTTTTCTTCCGAAGAAAACAAACCATTTTTAAAACAATCTAATACGCAGGTTTTAGTTTTTTGTGAAAAAAAGTAATTCTTGCTGTTTCTTGAATAACCAAGACTGCAAGGAATGTGATTATCAATTTCTTTTGACGAAGTTGGACTGTGATTTAGTGTATATATTTTTTCATCTATTTTAGAAAACTTGCTTTTTGTCGAGAGTACGGACTTTTCCGAAATTTCTTTTGTTGCATTTAAAGAAGTTAGACCTCCATTAAGACATAAAGATTCGATAGAGTTCTTTTTGGGAAACTTGGAGCACTCTAGACTTGAAGGCCATCCAAAATCAAACGTGTCCATATGTTTTAAGCATTTTCTTTTTACTTCCTCGCATAAAGGCCGACAAGCAGTAATAGGTTTTTCTACTTTTGGACTGCAATAGGGTAAATAAGCACTACATAGCAACAAACGCAAGTGCACAGAGCATCCCGTCCTTAACAATAGAGTAAAATGAGATAGCTCACTTTTTATTTCATCTTGATTTGTTTTATCTGTATATGGATTAGAAATACCACCTTCCATGTTTATTGTTTCATTATACGCTACATCTTTGCAAAAATCAAGACGTATCGGAACACATTTCCACGTGTTGTGCCACTCACTTTCAGATTCACCATTTCCATATACTATTTTTATAATGGAACAAATATTATAAGTCAATAAAAGAGATAATGGTACAAAAGTATTTGAAATTCTCGTCATGTCTGTGTTAAATCTCTTTGTTGTTGAATTTATTTCATTTCTGTTAAAATTACAACTATGTTTAACAAAATCACTTAAGTTCCAAATATTTTCTTCAAGAACCGTATTTTCTTTAAAAACAACAACAACAACCACAAAACCTTATCGAAGAAGTCTGAAAAACATAATAGCTGTTATTTTTTTCACTTATAGTGAGAAACCATCAAAAAGAATTTTTTAAACGTGTTATCTTAATCCAGTTATAATCTTTAGTAATAATTCAGTTTGCCATCGCTCAGAATGACGAAGGTTGACGATTTAAAACAACTCTAACGGGGGTTAAAACAAACAAAAAAACTCAATTAATTACTTATGTGCTGTGAGCAAATTATTGATTGCTTTTAGTTTTTGTTTTTATTCGCGCATTGTGGAATTTTTTATTTTTCGTTTTTTTTTTCGCGCTTTGTTTACTTTAAGTGTAAAATATCCTTTATTTCTGCTAATTTGGATAAGATTTTAAACAACCGAACGCACGCAAATATTTGCATCTAAATCCATCTTTGACGTTTTGCTAAAAAAATTCCATAATTGCAACTTGTCAAATTATCTTCAAACTGCAGTCTCATACAATGTTTAGTTTTTGTATTTTCTTATTCATTTAAAATTTGTAAACCACAAATCTTAATCCGAACAAAAAATATTATTAGTTTATAATACGTTAACTGAACACAACGTTATTTACTCAACCAATATTATTAATTTTGTTCGATTTTCTCTAAAAATTTAATTAACAAGTCTCCAATTATTTGCTAAGCAATTATAAACGATTAAAACTGTTAACTCTTTTTTTATAGATAAGAATTAGCACAATCAGTATAAATTAGCACAGCAATGTTAATTTATGCAACATTTGTTATTAAAAAAAGATGTTTATTTTTAAAAATAGGGCAATTTTTCTTCTAATTATCTATTTCAACTTGAGGTTTGAGAATGTAAATTTTTTTTATGCGTGAAAAAACTAAAATCGAGTTAATACAAATTTTATTGCCGGGGGTGATGCAATGTTTAGCTTATTAAGCAACGCCAGATGGACTTAATAATAATAAATAATAAACGCAGGTGAAAAAAAAATTATTTTTAGGGAAATATAAATGGATCAAGATGATCTATTTTTATTGTTTCTTATTCTAAACTTTCAATAAAAACAAGCGCATTTAACAGCGAATTAAATAAACAATAAAAGAATAAAGAAGCCGACACAAATTAGCTGTTGCAAAACTTTACTAACACTGCGCGCAATTTCACGGCTTTCTTTGAGATATCACAGGCTTAATTTTTAACGGATAGAAAATTAGCGATTATTAAAACACGTATTTATATTTTTTACTTAAATATTTCTTTTATATATTGTTCATCCAGTTGTTTTTTAAAATAGAAAAGTTTTTATACATCAAATCCCTTCTTAAATCATCGTGGCGAATTTCTTGTATGTCATGATGGTGAATTTCTCGTATATTTTGTCACGATGGTGAATTTCTCGTATCTTTATCTTTAAATTCTTTGGCAACTAACCTTGCTTCGTCAAAAGCTTGAATATGCATTAGAATCGAGATTGTTTTTTTTATAAGGATACTAAACGGTAAAAAAAATTTTTTAACACTTGACAACCTAAAGTCTTTCAATTTGTTAACAGCTGAATCAGACGTAATCATAAATCTATTATTAGAACGTATTTTATAGTAAAAAATACTTCGCTGTTTATTTTTAAATGTCTAATAATAAGCTGTTTAAAAACAAGCGTAAAATTCAATATCAAACTTTCTATATTGATTTCGTTTTAAATGTTGTTAACTCGAAGAGATTTTAACACGATATATTTACGTTTAACACGGCAGAATTCGCTTATAACGCGAGTTACATTTATTACGACTACATTCGATTATAACACGATATATTTACATTTATTATGTTAACCATTCGATTATAACACAAAAATTGAACAAAGAAGAAAAAATTCAAAAATTTTAAATAAAGTTGAATTTTTAAATAAAAAATCGTATAAAGAATTAAAAATATTTTACACTTACGTAGATCGTTTTTTTTCTTGTTCGTCATTGTATCCAAGAGACGACTTATAAATAATATTAGACAGCGAGACAAGGTACCTTGAAACACTCTGTAATCCGGGAATAATTTGGTCTGATTTTTCAAACCATTCTTTAGGTAAAATACTCACGATCTAAAAGACATAATAATGTTTAGACAAATAGCGATAATAAGTATAAAAAATGTCAGGCTTTATTTGATTAAATTTAAAACCTGTAAATTTTAACGGAGTGTCTATTCGCACGATTTTCACGTGCGAGTAAACAATATTTAATTATATTTTATTTACACGTTTAATTAAAAGAAGGTAAATTTAAAATGAATTTTAAAAAATTAGATTTACTATTATTGGTTTTTAACTTTAAAATTAAACTATGGAGTACTAACGCAGTACTTACGTTGGCTGACTTTTAAAAGATATGTGCACAAACAAAAACGTGCCAATAGGTAAAATAAACATTAAAAAATACTTTTTTTTTTTAATTAAAAGATTGCCTGCTTAAGCCAAAACCCTCGTTATTGTATTTATACTACACTGTGCCTATCCCTAGATAAGCAGTCAATATGTATATACAATAGATCATGACTGATTATCTAGGGATAGGCAGTCAGGTGGGTTTTGGCTTGGGCAGGCAATCTTTTAATTAAAAAAAAGAAGTATTTCTTAATGTTTATTTTACCTATTAGCACGTTTAGTTTGTTTTTTGAATATAAATTTAATTATGTTCAAGTAATTTTATTTATTATTATTATAATTGATTAAAAAAATTTAATTGCTTTCAAAATATGACTTAAGTTATAAACATTTTTTGTTTGTGAGAGATTTCATAATAAAAATTAACTTGATTTTTTTTTTAAACGTGCGAATAGACGATAATAAGATATAGTCAATTAACACGTGCGTGCGAATAGACTCACCCAAATTTTAAATCGTCGAACAATACAACGAAAAAGTACTTTTACTTTCTTAAGCCGGGTTTACATTATCTAAAATCAATTTAATCGCGTGATTTTTTGAAACCAAAATGAACTTAAAAGTTTGCTTTTTAAGTTTTTGCTATAATTCGGAGTTAGTGACAAAAAAATTTCATGGTTCTTTAAATCCATTCAACTTATATTCTCAACCCCAAATTCCTAAATCCATGGCTCCTATTGCCATTATTATTCTTTGAATGAAAATTTTATAACTGGAGCAAACACGTTTACGATGTAAAATCTTATAATATTATGTAATCATAAAATATCTTAATTATAGAATAATTAAAATTAATTAATTTAAAATTTAATTAAAAAAAAAATAAAATTAATTAATTAAAATTAATTAATTTAAAATTTAATTAAAAAAAAAAAGAAGCTGTAAAATTGAATCTTAAAATTAAAATAATTTAAAAATTCAACGTAAATTAAATAACTTTTCACAAGTAAGTTTATCTACTGGACAAACTTTATTTACCTCATTTGGCAAAACCTTTAGTCGGGCATGATTTTGTTTAATTTAACATTTAAACAAACATCAATATATACAATTAAAAAGAAATATTTACTTGACTCAATTTAAAAAATAAATAAACGTCACACAAGTAAAGCTTGTTTTCCAATAGCTTTATAAATGTCGTACAACAGTTGCATAGCAACTTTAAGGTGGTTTTACAGGAAATAAATTTATTTTAGTAAAATAACCTAATTTCATTCTAAAACCAGTTTTATTTGATTTAATGAACAAAATTATGAAAATTTAGTTTCATTTAAAATTTTTTTAAAGAAGGACAACATTATTAAAAAAAAAGCCCCATAAAATATAAAATTGACTAATTTTTATCACCTTTTATTTCCTGTGAAACCACCTTAAAATGAAAACATTATCTAGAGTGAGTCGCTTAACGTCACACTTCTAATAAAAAAGAAATTAGGTTATATAATTCCGAAAACCATTAAATATTTTCAAATGGTTTTTACACAGAGCATCCTATACTTATTTTTGTGTATATTAGAAAAAAACTCAAATATTTAGAAAACCGGAGTTTTTTCTTCTTCTCTGAATTAATTTAGTTTACCGATAATAGTTGTGAACCGAGAGTTTTCTTTATTGAACATTAAAACATGTTTTATAACATTTTGTTTTTTATAACTATAAATAACAAAGATATTAGGAGAATAATCTCTTGATAATTAAATATAAATTGAGTCAGTTCCAATACAGTTTAGGCCCGTAAAAATGAATTGAAGCATCTAACTAAAAATGTAGCCAAAAAAATTTTTACTTATTAAAACTCGATTTGTTTGATAAAATTCGTATCAAATAAAAAACATGCTACTTCTGTAGTAACATGATTCAATCTATTAATCTTTGCGGAATGAAATAAGACAATAAAAAAAGAAAAAACCTTTTTGACTTTTCTTGGATTTTAATTACTTTAATATATTATTAAGTATATATTTATACGAAATATATATATTTACTATATATATTTTCATATAAGTATAATGCAGAAGCTTGATTTTTATTATAAACAACTCAAAAATTTATCAAAAATGTTTTTTTAATCCTGAAATTTCCCCACTTGAAAATCTTTTTTTAATTAGGAACTACTAAACTAACTAAGTAAAAAAAAATCTTTAAAAAATTAAAATTGAAAAAATCTTTAAAAAAAGCTTGCTTCCATTTAATGACGCATAGTGTGTCGATTGTACAAAAAAAATAATTCCAATTTGCTGTAAAACAACGGTCTAAATGATGTTTTACAAACACTTTGATAAATCCATCTATAAAAAAATTATATAACGTAACTATCACTTTTCTTACAATTTTTGTGTTAACAAAATTTTAAAATAAATCAACTAAGAATAGTCATAAGCTAAAACTACTCAACAAATTTTTTGGTTCAAAAAAGAAATATTGTTATACTAAAAATAATTTTCATAAATCGAGTAATGCCGTGGTTTCATCACCATGTATTTACTTACAGCACAGTGATTTAAGGTTCTTTATAATCAAAGATTTGTGACAGATTTAAAAAGAGTTAGCCCTTGTTTTCCCTGGTTGTTAAGAATTTTTTTTTAAATATCAATTAAAGACAGTTTATAATAAGTAGACTTACTTAGCTGCATTGTTTCAATATATAATAAAATTGATTTATAAATTATAAAACATTTTATGTGAAAAAATATGTTAATCAATTTATAAGTTGTGATTTTAAAACTTTGTTTGGGTTTTCTTTAAGTAACATTTCTAATAATTTTTTGAGAAATATAAAATTTATCTAGTTTTTCTCTCATAATATTTATAGCAACAACAAAAACTTAGATACTTATAGCAATGACAGCAACTCAGTAATAATAATTTGTTATCAGTTCTGTATTTTTATTTAAAAAATATTTTTATTTTTATTTTCTTATTTTAATTCAACCTTTAAGACCATGAAGGATATTACAGTCGAGGAGACTATTTTTAGTTGTGGCTACAACCCTTTTATTTATTTCATAATATAATGTTAACACATTATGGTAATTTATTACGTTGGTAATCATTTCAGTTTATTTGTTAGGTTTTATATATTTTTTTATAGTTATATAATATATAGTTTTATATATTTTATATATAGTTTTATAATATATCTTTACTTATACTGTATAGATGATCTAATTTAGACCTACAGTTACTTATTTTGGATATTACCAAGGTACAATACCAAGGTCTTGACCCAAGAAAGCCATTTATGTAGAGTAAAAATACATTTTAGTTACCAAAAATGATAAAATTTAAATCTAACTATTATGTCTGAGAAAAAAAAAAGACTTTTTGTTTTTGGACTTAAATGCGCATTATACTAAAATTGCATTCAAAATTTTTTCCTTTTTACAGTATTCAAAAATATATTTTGCTTTATTCATATACCATAATGGTGGCTATGAATAAAGCAAAATATATTTTGCTTTATTCATAGCCACCATTACAAAATATCGATTATTAATTTTTGTTATATAAATTTAGTGATTTGTTATAAAAACCACTATTTATATAGTATCATAGTAACTTTGCACCAATCACGTCTTGCTTTTCACAATAGTGTATTAATGATACCACTACATAATATACTGTTCACAAATGTTCCTGAAAATAATCCGCAACAACATTTTAAAAAGTTTTTCAGTTGATGCGTTATTAAAATAGATGAACAAAAGAGATTTCAAAATGCCAAATCAAGCTGAATCTTATGATGATAGCAAGAAAATTTTGTGCATGCTGTCTATAAAAAAATGCACAAGGCATCTTTCAACAACTCAAACAGAAAGAATTGGTAGAATCTATCACATAAACATTGTTGTTTGTCAAGCAAGATTTCCTCAAGGCATTTTTAAGGTATACTGAACAATTATTTACAGAAAGGATAAAAGGAAAGATGTCAAACTGCCTCCTCTTTTTAATTTTAGACAAAAAAGAAGTGCGCTGACCGCCTAATTCTTATAGGCAAGGGCTTGTCACATCATTGCAACCTTATTTTCTTTAAGGTTGATACAGTCAGACTTCAGATTTTCTCTTGAGATCTTAAGAGAAAAACTGAAGTCTGAAGTTATATGCTACATAAGATGATGATGCAGCTGAACAAATAACATCAGTGAAGGAATGATCACAATCTCTTAATCAATTGGTAGATGACCTCTAAATATTACACTTTTTAAAAAATTATTTCAATTATTTTAAAGTAACACAATTTTGGTAATGCTTTGCTCGAAAAAACATTTTTTATACGTTTTTATTATGTAATGTCTTGCTGGAAAAACATTTTTTAATACGTTTTTATTATGTAATGTTTTGCTGGAAAAACATTTTTTAATACGTTTTTATTATGTAATGTTTTGCTGGAAAAACATTTTTAATACGTTTTTATTATGTAATATTTTGCTGGAAAAACATTTTTAATACGTTTTTATTATGTAATGTTTTGCTGGAAAAACATTTTTAATACGTTTTTATTATTTTTTATTATTATGGATATAGTGGCTTTACAAGAATTTCTCTTCTAACTTTATTGATATGAGCAAAGTTAATAAGGTTGAATTACTTCCCAGCAAGCAATTGCTTACATAAAAAATTGCCTAAGAAACCAGTGCTGAGAAATCCTGGTTGCTCTA